GGGTTTAGGGTTTAGGCTTTAGGGTTTAGGGTTCAGGGTTTATGGCTTAGGCTTTAGGGTTTAGGGTTTAGGGTTTAGGGCTTAGGGGTTTCTGTAAGGGCTTCTGTAGGGGAGTAATTAGGGGTTCCATAAGGGTTTCTGCAAGATGTTCTATATTTTTGTTGGTTGAGGGTTGAGGGCTGAGGGTTTAGGGTTGCGGGTCTCGGGTTTCTATAAGGGGCTTCCATAAGGATGTAGAGTTTGCGCTGGGGTTTCTATAGGGGTTTCTATGAGGGTTTGGGGTTTAATGAAGCTTCGGATATCTATCAGAGTTCAGGATGTTTATGAGCTCTCTATAAGTAAGGGGTTTCTAGAAGGGAGTAGGCCTTTCATAGGGTCTCTATATGGGTCTCTAAAGATTACCTACAAGGATGCAGGGCTTCTGTAGGGGTCTCTGAGGGTTTCTATGGGAGCTATCATGCTACACAGGCTTTGGGGGGATATGTGGTTTAGGGTTTTCAGGTTTACGAGAGTTTCAAGGCCTCTTTGGTGTAGGGTTTGGCACTGAGGGTTTGGAGTTCAGTAGTTTGGTAGCACAATGGCTTTAGAGGTACTGGACTTTGGGGTGAATCAGCATGGGGGTCTAAGCATGGTGGGTTTCGGGAACGAGGATGCGGTTACAGGCTTCAGGCATCAAAGGGCTCAACTTGCAGCTTAAGGCTTTGGGCGAAGGGGAGTTTTGGAGCTTAGTTGGTGCTGAAGAAAACATTGCAAGACTATAGAGTTCTACCATGAGGTTCACAGCTTCGAAGGCTGAAGCAAGGCTTGGCTTTGCGGCTTTCAGATGCGGTTTGGTTTGTTGGGGTTTCGCCAAGTTCTGGACCTTTCCTTTCAGCTGCAACGAGCCCACAACCCGCAAACTTTCCCAAACCCTCAACCCTCCTATCCAAAGCCGAGACCCCAACTAAAATCCGCAAAACAGTGCTACCAGCCAGGAAATCCAGACCTTCAACTCCAAATCACAGACCCTACACCCCAAGAAACTGAATGCCACACAAACGTTAAGGGTTTAGGGTCCAGGATTTAGAGGTTTGGGGTTTAGGGCTAGTCCTCAAGCCCTAAACCCTAACCCTCAAAATTTGCTGCGGAGACTCCCACTCCGCCGATGGTGTTGCGCGTGGCGACGAAGGGGTGTCGAATGCGGCCAGTCAGGGTCTTGTCCTGAGTTCTGCATAGGGTCATCCATCATAGTTGCAATTTGGCTTTGGGGCTGTGATCGGACGTGAGGTCTGTTCGCGCAAAAACATGCAGGGCTTGTACCTCACCTGTGATGTTCAAGCCGGATCGGGCTTACGGTTTAGGGGTATATGGTACTATGAATATGGTAGGGACCCCCAAGGAACAACAATATTGGTAATTATTAAGGTCCTAAGCTCCATCCTTTTGGGGCTAAGGTTGTAGAGATGTAGGGTGTTGAGCTTTGGGGTTTCGGGCTTAGATTTTCATTAACGTTTAGGGTTTTGGCATTTTGGGGTTTAGGTTTCAAATTTGGAGAGCAATCGTCTAGAACCGACGCCTTGCTAAGTCCTACGTCACTTTAGGGATTGGGGGGGCAGGTAAGAGTGCTCTTCAGCCTCAGCGCCTGAACCTGTGGCTGCATTGGGCTGCTCTCGATGACTTTGAAAGGACCCGGAGCCCTGCTCTGAACTTCAAAGGCTTAAAATTCTGAAGCCCTGAAGGCTCCAAGCCCTAAACTTCCGGAGCCCTAACCCTGAACCCTCAAAACCTCAAGACCCTCGAACCTGAAAGAAACACCCACTCGGCCCCGCACCTCATTGAGGTTGACCTCGAATTCACAGGGGACAGTGCCAAACACCGGAAACTCTTCGGAAGGGCTGGGGGGTTCATACAGCTTGCAGGATTTTGGGGCCTAGGTTTGGGGCGGGGTTGGGGAGGGTTTAGCTTTTTCGTTCAGGTTTAAAACAAAACCTTGAAGCCTGCAAACTATGGGCCCCGAAACCCTCGACTTCAGTGCACGACTTTCTGGAACCCCTGACACCCGAAATCCTTCGACACCAACCCTTTGTGCATGTGAGCTACAGAAGGTAAGGGTCCCAGAAAAGAAACCTCAAAAGAATGTTAGCAATCTTAGGGTCCCTGCAGTAGATTGTGCCAGAGAGCCCTCGAAGTAATCCCGAACTTTCCGCAGCCACGGTGCCAGCATCGGCTGCGTGTCACCCACGCGCAGGGAGCTCCTCCGGCGGCTGCGCGCCGCCTTCGGGGCTCCCGTAAGGGTTACTAGTAGGGCCACTGTAAGGTTCCGTTGAAGGCCTTTTATCATAAGAGTTACCGGCTGTAGGAGTTTCTGGCAGAATTTGAAGGGCCTTATTGGAGCTTTTATTACTTTTGGTGTTCGTCATGAGGTCTAACTGTGTGGAGGAGAGGGGGTTTGATGTTGAGGACCCCAGGCGGCAGAGATTCTGGGTTTGGGGCCTCAGAGCTAAGTGAGTTCCTCTTGTCGTTTTGTTTTGTCACATACCCTGAGCAAGGGGCCCAGTCCATGAATTGTCGTGCAAACTCTGCAGTTTGTCAAAGTACTCAAGCAACTGCTGGTTCTCATGACGAGCTTTGAGTGGCTCGTGCTCCTGCTTCAGCACTCCAACCTCGTGTAGCTTGGCTTCAGCTTCTGTCATCCGCCCTCGCCGCTTCAAGCATGCTGCGTGAGATAGCAGACGCTTGATCTCTCTCGCCCGTTCTTGGCCGGCAGCGTCCAGCCTCCTTCCAAACTGCTGGTTTCCAGTCAGACAGCTCAGTCGAGCCAATACTTGCCCTGCAGTCTGCTTCGTCAGCCTGAGTGCGACTTCCGCCTGCGTCGCTTTACACACGAGTCCAGCTCCCAGCATGTGTCGCAAAACCTGCTTGCAATCTGACAGGCCACTAATTCTCAACAAATGCAAGTTCTTGGTTCTTGATTTCCCCAGGCTCGCATCCATGCCCAGGCTTCGGGACAGAACGTTCCGGAGACACTTCAGGACTTGGGGGTGCTTTTGACCGATCTCCAGGACCAGCGAGGCTCCTCCATTTTGCTGATCGATGTATCCCTCTGCATCGAAAAAGCCGGCGAAGTAGCTCCAGCTGCACGGTCCAGCGACTGCCGAATCGTATTTCTTCAGAGCGCACAGCTCGGCCTTGCAGTCCTCTCTTCGCGATTTTGTCTTTGGCCATCCGGCTGCCTTCAAGAGCTGCCTCTGCTTCGTGATGCTGTGTGGTGCCAGGAGCCTGGCTGCTCGTCGGGCCGAATCACCGTAAACTCGCCACTGAAGCATTGGTTTTCTCAAACCTTTGCCCCCTGCTTGCCGCGTGATGCTCCCACAGAATGCTTCGCGGAAGAGCATGAGAACTTCCGCCCGGTCGTAAGACTGCCCCACCACCAACTTGCATCCAGACATATACCCGTAAACGCAGCCATCCCCGTCGAAGAAGCCGGCCAAGTACTCCAGACTGGCTGTCGTCGGCCGATGCGACGGCTCTCTGCTCTCGGCTCGCAGGGGCAGGCTGTAGGTGCGTCCGTTGGCCCAAAAACACTTCAGCCTGGGCCATGAGAGATTCGCAAGATGCTTTCGGAGGTCTTTGTTCTTTTTGTTAACTTCCTGCAACGTGTCGCATGCATTTGCGGATAGGGTGAGGCGTACCCCGCCCGCAGCAGGAGAAACTTCCGGCCTCACGCCAAACCACACACAAGGTACCAGTATCCAAGATGCAACCAGGCCCTTGCTGAAGCCACACAGCATCCTGCTTTTCCTTCTGGCACGCTCCATTTCTCGCATCACTGTGGGTGGCACGGAAAGTTCAAAGCCATTGAACAGGGCTTCCAAGTTTGCCCTACTCGGCAGTAGCGGGGACAGCTTGAGCCCCAACCAGCCGGAGGACGTGTCCTCGCCAGAGGCTACTGCAGGAAACGTCTCGGTTTGCAAGGCCTAGCCAATGGCAGTCAGCATAAGGAATCCCCTACTATATTCTTCGTGCAAAGGTCTAGATAAGTAGGGGGAGTAACTAGGAATAAGAGCCCGAAAGAGGACGGTTCCCAACAGCATCGGCAACAGCAACAATAGCAACTTCACAATCTCCCAATCCACAGCACAGTCATGAGCCTCCTTACCATCACATACCATCACTATCACCATGACCAACATCGGCATCAAAATACATGGCTTATATCATGTATTTGTATCTGTCTATTCCTCTACTATGATCAATGCTTCTCCCTTCTACCGCTCTCTCTGTTTCTAGTGTGGGAACTTCTGAGCATAAGTGACCCTATTATACACATTTAGCAATCCTGTAACGTCCCGGAAAACACGAAACCCCTGACCCCCTTACCAAAGCCCTGGACCGAATCCCGCAGTCTCTGAACACCCTACAACCCCTAAACCCCTAAACCTAACCTCCCCACCCTAATCTACCACCCCGCGCTGACCCCAACAAGAGGGCCCAGCGAAAAGACCCTGAGTTTAAGAACCCCCCTGCCTAAACCCTAAGGCATGAAAACCCAAGACCAAACGAAAGATCAAATGATGATAGCAACACAAAACCTACATGAAGATTTAGAAATTCAACCAATCAACCAATGAAAAGTTCTCGTCTTAAAAAAACAACCCACACAGAACAGTCTCGCCTCCTGCTGCTCCTTGGCCTCGGCAACCTTCTCGGCCCAGCCTTGCTTTAGGGCTTTCATGAGGCTGTATTGTGCTATATTACATTCTGTTTTGTGCTACTGAAATATGTTGATTGCAGCATATACGATACTATACTATATGAAAGGATCAAGGGGCTTTAAGGTTTCCATTTACTATGAGGGCTACTCGGATGCACGGAGAGCGGGGGGGCCTAAAAGTGTGGGGGTTTAGGCTTCAGGGTGAGGGTTTGGTATGCAGGGCTTCATAAGGGTTCTAGAAGGATACTGGCAGGGGTTACTTTAAGGGTTGCGGAGCCGGGGGACTTGGTATGTCGGGTTCTAACAGGGTTCTATAAAGTACCTAAAGAATGTGAGACTTAGTATGCATGGCTTTTGTAGTGCTTACAGGGGTTTTGTAGGGTTTCTATATGAGTTCTGTTTGGGTGTTTGGGTGTTGCAGGGTTTTGCTGGGCTTGAAAATGAACTTAATTAGGATGTTAAGGTCTACTTGGAGGATCAGGGGACGCGGTCAGTAGGGTTATAAGACAAAAATACCTTAACACGGCTTTGGATCAATTGCTCTAGAACCATCCTCTAAAACATCTACAAAGAAACAACCCGGTTAAACCCACAAAACCCTCGATAAAACCATACACTACACCCTACACCCCAAGCCCTAAACCCTGCAGACAGCCCAGCGGCTCTTGTTCTGATCCGCCAAAGCCGCCTCGATGGCCGCGATCTCCTGCTGCCTGGCGCCCATTTCCTTTGCAGCTGTCGGGCTCGGGCTACACGAGGCGCTTGAGTGCTTATGTTTTCGCTTTTAAGGGCTTAGGGTTTAAAGAATGGGGTTGTCATCCTGAGTCTACAATGGCAGAGGTTTCGGAAAAGCTCAAGGAATCTGGGAGAGGATTCAAAAGCTGGTCCATTCACGCACTCAAGGGTTTTGAAGTTTAAGGAATCGGCATGTTGAGTCTTCTTTTGGGGTCCAGGTGTAGCAAGCAGGTATGTGCGTTCGTTCGGGACTTCGGGCCGTGGGCTTGATAACCGTTCCCACACAGTCCGAGAAGCTTTGATGGACTGGGCATCGGGCATCGCGCCACCTGTTCCCAGGAAACATTTCTGAGCAAGAACTACAAACCCGAAAGCATCATGCTCTTCATCATCACCAACGATAACCATCCTGTTCTTCAGCTTATCAACACCGCAGGTGCCATCACCATCGTCAATAGCACCGTCTCCGAATGTGCACGACACACATCTTTAGATGGTGCCCGGGGTCTGGCTTCTAGGGCTGAAAGGTGTAGGGACCCGGAAAAGCCCAGACCACAAAAACACTGAAACCATACAACCCCTAAAAACAAGCTTAACTCCCAACTCCGATTCTACCTATGAGGCAGGCCTATCCAGAGACTCCGAAATGCTTCAAGTTCCGAATCTTTCCTGACCCATAGTTCCCACAAGCTGTTTGTTAGACGCGACCGCAACTCAAAGCTTCCCCACGCCAGAAGATCTAGGGGTTTTGGAAAAGGGGTCTTCAGTTTGGGGTGCAATATTAAGGCTAAGGGGTCATGGTTGGGGTTTGCTGCCAGACTTCAGGCGTGGATTCTACTGCTGCTACGACGACGACGACGACGGCTACCGCAAGCACCACCACAACCACCTGCAGCACACGACCACTACCACCACCACCGCAACGACGACAAGGACGGTGCCAAAGACGACGGCTGTCCTCCCCGAGTGCACCACGCCCTAATTCCAATATGTACACAAACCACAAACACACCAAAAAGGCCTGCCATGTCTTGGAAAATCTTCTTGAGCTTCTCGTTCTCTTCGCGAAGCTCTCGCATCAGCCGCTCCTCTTGCGAACGCCAGCGAGCACAGCTGAGGGCCCTTAGGCTTTAGGTTTAGGAGTCTGGGGGTTCGGGTAGCTGGGATTCCAAGTTTGCCGTTGAGAATTCAGGCTTGTGCGCTTAGGGCGTGAGGACTTTGGTGCTCTTGGCTTAATGAAAGGCTTTAGGCTTAGGTTTACCATCTCGGGATTTCTGCAGGGGTTAGTGTACCGCCATGATGATCATCCGAGCTAACCCCCAGTTGCAGGAGTCATTGCATTGGACCACGTGCATTATGCCTTAAACCCATTCTCACGAAGAGTAAATGAGCTTGCAAGTGCGTGCTTAAAGTTGAATAGAAGTAAGAATACTTACAGCTAAGCCCTTCTTTCTACCTCTCGCAATCCTCCTAACAACCTCAAACCATGAACCCTTAAAGCCTAAACCCTTAAGCCTCAGGCCCTGAACTTAAACCCTCCAAACCCGTAGACCCCCCAATCCCTAAACACTTCCAAGAACCCTTAAAGGAACAAGACCCCTTATTAAGGGAACCCTCAAAGGAACCCTCAAAGACACTGTGGTTGCAAGGCCCCCGCCTGGGGGTTCTCGTTGACCACCGCGTGATTCCTGGTCTACTTGGGGCTCCCTACAAACAGGGTCTAGGCATCAGGTTTGGGTTTATATAGGGCTTCCAGGAGTTTTGATAGCTTCAGGGCTTTGGGGGTTTAAGGTTTAAGGTTTTTTTTTAGGGCGGCCCTGCGCGCTCTGTGCGTGCGCGCTTTGGCGCCATCTCAAAAGACGATTTCCGCAGCTCTTTGGAGATTATTACATACTTGTGTTGAGGGGTTTTGGCTGCGGGGTGGTCCGGCTTCCATAGTTGGGGGTAGTTCCTCTTGGTTATAACTTCTAGCCAGTATGGGAATTGCATACCCCTTCTTCTGCCTGTGTTAAGGATGCGGTCCTTATATGCCGATGCAAACACTACATTATGGAGAGGTGTGGTCAGAGGGCTCTTGAAAACCTCAACCATAGTCCGAAACTGAAAACGCTGAAGTGTGACTGAAGGTTTTTCTGGGTTACCCGCTTTTC